TGAAATGTGTTTTTCCTTCTATGTACACAGGGATTTAGAGAGTGCAATTTTGAACTATTTGCAGCTATATATACACACAGGCAAAGAAATCTCCCCCATGCCACAGCAACATACAGTACGTAAGAGTGTAAGCAGAGGTAGCCTCGAAGGAATCGTTTCAGTCCCTGAAAACAGATATAGCTCTTCTGTTCCCATGATTTTTCCTTTTTTCAAATATATAGAACACATAAATGTTTTCAGATCTGCAAGTTTCGTTCCTGTCTATCTGAAAATTCAACAGTTTGTATAACCAAACCTGAATATCGTCAAAGCCTCTGTCAGATACCCAGACAATGTCCACTCCTTGAGTAATGACTCGCGTCTTATACTTTCCATCCTCTCCTCATTTTTACAACAAAGCAAAAGGCAGAAAAGCTTGCAACAGACAGAAATATACTGACAGTCTCAATTAAAGGGCAGAAGCATGAGCATGACAGTAAAATGGTAATTTTTCCTTCTAAAAAGAAGTGATTCAGTATTCTGTCTCCTAACCAGCATCTGAACAAACTAGAGAAGTGGGTGCATAAGAACTAAATGGTTCAGCAAGGCCAAGTGCAAAGTGCTGCACCTGGGTCAGGGCAATCCCAGACATGGGTACAGAATGTGAGAAGAACTCACTGAGAGCTGCTCTGCCAAAAAGATTTGGCGGTGCTCGTGGATGAAAACTTGGACATGAGTCAACAGCATCAGTGCTTGCAGTCCAAAATGCCAACCACACCCTCAGCTGCACCAAAAGCAAAGCAGGCAGGAGATCAAGGGAGGGGGATTCTGCCCCTCTACTCTGCTGAGACACCACCTGGAATTCTGAATCCAGCCCTGTGGTCCTCAGCACAGGAAGCACATGGCCCTGTTTAGAGCACGTCTAGAAAAGGGCAACAAAGATGATCAGAGGGCTGGAACAACTCTCCTCCAAAGACAGGCTGAGAGAGCTGGGATTGTTCTGCCTGGAGAGGGAAAGGCTCCAGGAACATATCAGTGTGGCATTCCAGTAGCTAAAGGGGGTCTCTAAAAAAAGGAAAAGTCATTTTTACACAGGGAGATGATGAATGAACAAGTGGAATGGTTTTAGACTAGAAGAGGGGAGATTTACATTAGGTGTTAGGAATAAATTCTTTCCTCAGAGGGGTAGTGAGACACCAGAACAGACGGCCTAGAGAAGCTGCGGATGTCTCATCCTTGGAAGGCCAGGTTGGATAGGACTATGAACTAGTGGAAGGTGTCCCTGCCCATGGCAGGTAGGCTGGAACTAGATGGTCTTCAAGGGCCCTTTCAACCCAAGCCATTCCATGATTCTGTGCTCTCTTGTCTCTCCTTGCAACAAAAAGCACTTATAACAAGTACCCCTGATGGCAGTGTCTACAACAAGCTCAGGAAATACACAGGAAGAAACTCCATGCAGGGAATTTGTTCTAGTGTGCATGGATCCAAAAGACAGATTCATGTGTACCAAATCATTATGCTAGGTGCTGGCTGGCATTGGGACTCCAGAGATATTGACTCACTCAGAAGGAGCAAGGATGCTAGGTTAGCCCAAGCTCCACCAAAACTGGAACTGTGCTTGCAGGAACCAAGGACACTCAAAGCAGAAGACAAACTGGTGACCTTTCTAACTACATATTATGGGTTTTCTCTTGCAGGCTGAGCAGGTTCCCCTGAAAATATAGGAAAAAACCACCCAGATGTTGGGCAACTCATGACATTTTTTCATTATTATAATAGAATAAAAGAAACCAAAAATGAGAAACACATATGTCATTGTGCACAAGTACCAATACATACAAAGAGATCAAGTAAACTCCATAAACAAAGTGTTTTTTTTACATAGCTACATTTTTTATTTGAAAGCATGTTTGCAATGCAATTAACCTAGTTATGCTCTGGAGCCTAAAAATTCCTACTTGGCACCTCTGTTCCTCCTGGAAGACTAGGAGTTGGAAAAGTTCTACTTCAGCAGGAAGGGAAGGATAAGGACCTTTGTAATTTGAGATACTTTTTTTTTTTTTTTAGTGTTTTAGTATCTCCTAGCAGTGACCTACTTTATGAATGTAAAGCCCACTCAGTTCCCACTGAGCTGAAACCATTTAGAAGAGACACAGAACGATTACTAAACACTATTTTCTTACTGATCAGCACAAAGTTATTTGGCACAAGCATCTCTGTAAATGTTTGTCCAAGACTAGGCAAATTTGCAGTGTATGATGGCCCTCAGACCTGTGCTTCTGTCAAGTGAGAAGGCTCATAGTCTAGCACTGCAGCTCAGCTATGCTTCAGCAGAAATACAGAATGCTAGAGGCTGAGCTTAATATCACTGCTGTCTTTCCCCTTGGGTCTGTTCTTTCTTGTTTTGTTCAATGTTTCCCTTTTCAAACCAAAAGAAGATTAGTTTTCAAATGGAATGAATGTAAGGGCAAAGAAGACAATTTGTGAAGTGCATTATACTGGGCTCTGTTTAGGCATGGAGAAACCAGAGGAAGAGGAGGGAACTGTACCCAGCTCTGGGCAAGTACCAGAGGAAAAGCACAGCTCCAGAATCACTTTCAGCCTCATGAAGCTGAAGGCAAAGTCTGCTTTAGGACATGCAAGGAGGTCTGATGGACTCGGCTCACAGCAACACTGGCAGCCTGCCACAGTATTCTGTTCACGTGTGCCTGAGATATCCATGGGCCCAGAGCTGTAATTATGGTCTCAGATATCACAGTACTACTAGCCCAGGCGATATTTATGGATCTGATCCGTACAATCTATAGGCACTGTGAAGTTTCAGGCACATTCAAGAAAACTCCCCACTCCAGAAGAGGGACAGCAAGTCTATAGCAGTTCTTTCAAGCTACATCAAAGCAACACACTCCACTGGGTCTCACCACTGAAAGGTCTGAACGGGGTTAACTGCAGGCACAGGGCTCAGGCTCACACCACACATGATATCAGAGGCATACTAATGAGCTGTGAACCAGGTTAAGCATTAGCACTGCTTGTTTCCCTATGGAGTGGCTTGCTGATTCTCACAGTTGCATTTTAAGCTCACAATAATAATATGGACAGGTACATACTTTCCTCCGCGTAAAGGGAAAGGCCAGACAACCACTTCCACACTATTTATTTCTAGAAAGCTTGTGAAGCATTTAGAGAATAGAGTGCAATCCAAGAACCTAGCTAGAGAGAAAAAAGCTCCATATTGTTTGCTATTTATATTGCTAACTTTTGCCTCCAGGGATAGTATCACACAAACAGAACCACCAAAATGTCACATCTGTGGGAAAGAAGCCCACAACCACCAGCGAGGTGCATGCAGAATATACCTCAGCATGGGGAGCAGAAACTATTGCAGGTTGCCAAATGCTACTTCCACATGAAGCCTAGGGAGGTTTCTGTGTCCTTGTGTGAGCAGACAGGACTTTGTGTGAAATATCTCCATCAGCCAGTAAGATGCATGGGAGAAAAGGAGTCTGATTTTCATCACACTTGCCTGGCTCTGGAGTAGCTCTGGTTTAGTTTGAAAGAATACCTCCACTTTACTACAGCTTTAGACACCCTGCAAACACACACTTCTCAATCCATTATCTAAAGCGTTACTTTCAGCAGTATAACTGCAGCCATGCAGCCTCATCAATGTGCAGTACTTTCACCAAAATAGCTTATGTTCATTAATAGAAGGGTTTCAGCCACTTTCATGCTAAAGCAACAACTCAGACACCCACTCACATTCAGGCACAGACGAGTCCTATACAGGACAAGCATCAGGACAATCTGTTTGTTTTGAAAAATATTTAAGAACAGGATTTTGAAACTTCTATTTCCGTAAATATTGGAATCCCAAACCCAGTGCCTGCCCTTAACCAAGACCACTTGCCCTTGAGGCTGAGGGCAGCCAAACGTATCAGATTGCTCTGCCTGCTCCCAGGCAGCTGGAAAGCTGCATGGGGGTATTTCAGTCACAGCCTGTATCTCTGCTAAAATTTACTTCTTTAAAGCACTTGGTGTCTATTGACCAAGAGGATTCAAAGCTACCCTGCAATGCTTTCTTTACTATAGTAATTTTAAATATTTTACAACTTACAGTGATCTCTGAAGGAAGACATTTGATATTGCTGTATGCAGTTAGGAAGCAGAGTGCTTTCGTATTACAGAAAATACAGAGCTTTAAAATAAATTAGACTGCAGTATCTTCATTACTAAAGCTGCTTTGCACTGAGAAAGCCTTATGATGAGAAAGCAGTGCAAACATTCCAGTAAATGCAGTTGTCTATTCTCAGCATCAAAAAAAATTTAAATGCAAACTAGAAAACTAAAGTATGCTATATTTTGTATGTGCTTACATAAACGACATAACCCTAAACCCTGATCAGATTAGAAGTGTACATTAACACGGATTAGAAGTTAACACATGTACAATACAGATGAACGTATTTTTTCCTTCCTGATACCAGCTGCATGAAACTGTAGCAGAAGAAATGCCTTTAAACCAGGAGGAAGTATCAGCATTTTAAACTCAGGCTTCCTCCAGCTTAATCAGGTATTTTTTCAGTATGAAAGAAGTTCTTCTATTTATACTAATACATATGCCATTTTAGCAACTGCCTTTCACACAGATATATCCTAATTTTGCAGCATTTTTAAACACTTCACACAGACATTTCTCCAAAAGTTGCACTGACAAAAGTAATTTCACCCTTTTGGGAAGTACTTGACGTCTATTTATTTTCAGCCTTTTAACAGTCAGGACGTCAAGATCTCCTTCTGCCTCAGCTCTAAGCACTACATAGTTTGATTTTAGCCAAACCACAAATAACATTTATTTTAGCTACTTAATCATCCTAGTCCTTACCTAAAAAAAAAAAAATTAAAAAAATTTATAAACCTTTTCCACTTTCTTCCATTAGAAGCAAATGCTGGCTTTCTGTTCTTTGAGGGTATCCTGTGCTCTTAAGGAAAACCAGACAGAAAGCTGTATTCCAACATACCTTGAAAGGAGAGCAGCGCTCACTGCCGGCTGTGTGACTTCTCAGGGGCTGCACTCGGAGCCGGGCATTCCCAAGAACCGCGATGTCACAGAGCCCCGAGCTCGCAGTGAGCAGCGGAGCCGCTGGCTCCCACACGCCCTTCCTCGTCCCTGGCTATCTGACAGCCGAACACTTTTTAGGGCTGCAGCCGGGCTCGTCTCCCAGCCCCTGTGCCACTCCGAGGAATCATCCCCTCCCTGCTATTAAGTGCACGCTGCCATTATATCTTACACGCGCGTCACAGCCCGCATGCAGCGGCTGTGGGAAAGCTGCATTTATTTGTACAGGAAGCTTGAGCACAGCACTTCCTACTTCCCATCCCAGACTCAATTCAGCCGCAGGTGATTCCTGACAGCCGGGCAGCTCCCAGCCAAGGCACACCCTCCCCTTCGGCTTTGGCTCTCTGTGCAGCTTCCGACCACGGCTCCCATCCGAGCCCCGACAAGGTAAAACTGAGAGCAGCGAGGCTTTAGATGTGACACTCATCAAAGCCCTCCCAAATTAACCTGCTGGGGAGAGCAGTTTGCGTAGCCGCTGATGTCTGAAACCTCGCTGGCTTCTGCTTGTGAAAAATGTCATCTAAAAAACAAAAAAAAGTGTGATGTGTTGACGTTGGAGGGGAAGTGAGCAAAAAATCTAAACTCAAAAGTAAAGTACCCGTGCAATTTCAGATGTGAGCGTTTAATGATGATGGTGTTCATCTCATTCTGTCAATACTAAAATTTCACTCTTTAAGCTGTCCCTGTGTGCAAGAGGGGTTGGGAATCCTGCAGTTCCGTATTCCAGACCTAAGGGTGTGATTCACATCAGCCAAGTAAGTAGCAGGAGAATATCTAATTGTGCCACATGACACCAAACCCTCAAGAACTTTTCCTGCTGTAGGAAATGCACCACACCCACAGATAAGAAATATAGATATATCAGAGTGCAGGGAGTGCAGAAAAACAGAAGGAAGCATAAATGTTAATCTACAATTTTCTTATGATGAAATAAATTTACTTTGTACTTCATGCAATCATTGCTGGCGTTTTGCCTTCAGTACTTTCCTGTGAAAAATTATATATAGGCATTTCTTCCGGGATGTATAAAAGCTCACAGCTGAGCTTTTAGTCATTTTCAGACAATTATACTGCATCAGATTAATTTAAGGAAAAAAAAAAAAAAAAAAGCTTGTGCAACTTTAATTCAGCCTCCTTGCTGAATTATTCCTTTATATTACAGCTTTGCTTGAATTACCATCATATACTCTTTTCCTCTTAGAATAAGTAAAAACTTAGAATTTATCTATTTAACACTGTGTTAAAATATCTTTGGGTGTTATAAATAATGTTAGATATAGTTATGTAAGATATGTATAATTTGTATTATTTTATATATACAAATTTTATATATTTATATATTATTTATATATATTTAGGGAGGGAGGGGATAATAACCAGAAAAAATATAGCTGTTCCAACATGTGGGATCTTGCTGATCCTTATGGTGTTCATCAACACGGTTACAACAGGATTAGGCAAACTAGAGCCACGTCATTTACTGCCACTTGAACAAGGAGAGCAATTCCCAGCAGAAGCAGACATATATATTCTCAGCAGTGGCCAGTCCTAGAGAAGACTCAAGAAACACTGAAGGCTCAGAGCTATTTTTTAGGCTCTAGAGCAGTACTGAAAATGTGGAATTCTTTGGACAACTTTATGAGTAGAAAACAATTCTCCTTCTCTGGTTAGATTTTTATCCTTCATGTTCTGTTCTAGTATGAAATAGCTGGAGCCTCTATCACTACTCTATTCACTACCTTCCCTCTTGCTTCCAGCTCCTATATTTTCCTCCAGCAGCTGCCCCCTTTGCTACTCTGCCTCCATCACACAAGTACTTGATAGGCCACAGATGAAGCTCAGCAGGAAAATTCTCCCTGTTCTCAGCCCCTGTGCTCAGCACCACAGCATGTGAACAGCAAAAGGCAATTATCTCAAGGAGGAGAGTGGTGAGAGAGGGAGGATGAAGGAAATCATGTCATTCATGCAGGTGTAGGAAAAACAGCAGGGCAGTAAGTTCAGAAGCAGAGCAGGGCAGCTGCCAACATCAGAGTAGCAAAAGTAGCATCTGGTTTGGTACTTACTCTTTGCTGGCACAACAAAACAAAAACAAGCTTCATTGAAGTAGCCTCCACCAGTGAAGAGACAGAACTACAACAAAGATTACCCATCTTCCCTTCAGGTATGATGAGGCCAGCTTGTATCTGGGGGGGGATGTTCTTTTAAACTATGAAAACTAGATTTAGTACATTAAAATGCACAAAAATTCTTGAAACTTCAGCTACAAACATCCCATCGTATTTTTATCCCATTTCCTACTGTCTCCATGCAAGTTATAATGTGATTGCATAAACGTGCAAAACTGCTTACAACAAAATTATTTTCCTTTAGACATCACAAAATTGGTGAAAAAAATAATGCTTCTCGAGACATTTAATTAACTGGAAATGCTAAGATATGCTTGTTCCAAGCACTCCACTTCTTGGGTATCAAATCCTAAACTGTGGGGCCCGGATTTACACACCAGACAATAACTTACTGATGCTCTGGGGACAGCTGGCTATGCCTCTGCTTCCATCTTCTCTTCAGTATTTGCCCCTACTTTTGTGCTTCTCCAGGATCCCCACAGCAAAGGGGAGCTGAAGGTGACGTGGCACTGTGCAGGAGCTCAGGCTATAAGGACTTGAGATGATCAATACTGATGATTCTTTCAATTGCCATCACCAAAAGACGTGAGCTGGACTTTTATGAGCTCTTCTGTCAAAATAATTTCTCTTCCAGCTGTACCTCGAGCCCAGGTACTTCACAGTTTCACAGAAGCACATCTTCTTGGCAAGCTAATTTTATGAAGTGTTATGAGTCATGCTAAAATTGCTACCCAGCTCAAATCCCTGAATCTCTTACCCAGATTGATTGGCTTCCTTTCTGAGCCAACAAATAGAAGTTCACATTGTCACACAATTCCAGACAAGGCACAAGCTAAGTTCTCCCCATTTGCCTTCTTCTTGGACAGCTGTGATAGACAGCACAAAACTGAAAGGGTCCAATTAATTTTTTGGACACGCTTAACTGATGCTTTTATACCTCCAGACTGGGGGAATAGCTGAGCCTTTGAGATGTCAAAATGCAGTATCACTGGAAACTTTTAGTTGAGTTACTAGCCAGAATAAGAATAAAGACTGGCATAGTTAATTACTAACATGGCTGTGTCATCCTTACAGTGACTCGAAATACTTCAGAAATGACTAAGCCACTCTTCATTAACTGAAATTACTAATTAATTTTTGACATGGATGGGTAAAAAAGTAATAGCGTGACCAGTGAAAAGATCACTGACATCCCACAAACAACATACCATTAACAGCAAGTGAAAATGCTGAGTTAGTGTATAACTAACAGTTTCATTGTAATTCTACATAAAGAAAATAGGACTAGTTTATGAGGGAAAAAAAATTTCACTATCATGTTTCGCAGTTTTCAACTAAAAAAAACAACAGATCACCTGAACAGCAATTGCTGTGCATAGGTGTAATATAAAAAGAGGTTTTATAACAAGCTTTTTAAAATCAGAGCCTAACTAAAAAAAATTAGTCTTTATCAATTTTATTTAGTGTACATGCAAATAATCTATTTCCCGGTGGAAAAAGAAAGTATTTGTAGATGTAAAAGACATAGTTTCACAACAGAAATAGATACTAATGAGTAACATAACCAATGCTGAAAACAAAACAGGAAGGAGTTTTGCAGAGGGAGTATACATATATTATCTGAAGTTGAAAGTGTGACGCCCCTGATGTCATGGACTATTAATAGTTGTCTTCAATGGGAACTATTTTAAAGGGGAATTACACCATAAAAAGTCATTTGTGATACCTTCATAAACCAAATATTTTAAAAAGGAATCTCTATTCCATATATGTATTTATACAACCACATCTAGAAATCAGATGTCAGTGCAGAAAAATACAGAGCTATGCAATATTTTGCATGCAGACAAGCTTTAATCAGTACAGCCTCAAGAAAATCAGGACCACATCTTTTTCTGTTTAAATAACCCTATTGTTCTACAATTCTGACTTGGTATGCAAGTCACTCCTTGACAAACCAGGCTTGAAATCTTCATTAATCCCTTTAGCTAAAATATAAAACTTTATTATAAGGAGTTTTCTATTAGAGTGAAATAAATCAAGTTAAATTATTTTGAAAGAATAGTAGGTGCAATGTAAAGAGCTTTTAATTTTACAGTAAAAAAAGGGAGTGGGATGGCACACTGTCTACTGAAGATTTATGATTATGATCTCAAAATGAGTGGATTTGTCTCAGACACAAAGAGTGGTAGGTGACTTACACTCATCCTGTTCCTATGAACCAAGCAAAATGCAACATTCATTAAACTTTGTTGGCACAGTGGACCATCTCCAAACAAAATCATATAGCTTCCATGAGTTCTATTTCTTCTCCATCAGTATTTTTTCCTGTGTTTGTACTTTAAACTATATTTTGGTATTTGATCCATACAGAACCATGTTAGAGGGGAAAAAATAAAATAGAGCCTCAGCAGAAAACCATGAGAAGTCAGCCTGCTACCCCAGTGGGTGGGTTTCAGGTGCTTAGAAATTTCAGCTTAAAGATCCAGGCCAATGGCTTTAACAGTGTATTACTGGAATTCCAGTGCACCTTGTCTTCTTGAGACCTGAAAACATCAAAAGAGACAAAGTGTATTTGCCCCCAGAGCAAAACCTGCTGGTGGCAGAGCTCTACTACCAGCACCACAAGGAGCAGGCATTTTGCCACTGGCAACCAAACAGCTCTACAGAAATTTTTGCTTAGGCTAACTCCTTTCTGCTCACTATGTACATGAAGAATCAGCCTGCAAGAAGAAAACAAGCTAAGTTTCTAGGAGCCTGCCATAAATAAGACATTGATGAGCTGCCAGTGAACAGCAGACATCCTGCCCAGGGCAGCCAGAGCAGCACTCTCAGGCCAGGGCACATCCTCAGCCACCTCCTTGCACTCAGGACACAGGGAAGAGGCTACTGTCACACCCCCCCTTGACCTTCTCCTGTGACATGAGGTGTGCCAGCCACCATCTCACAAGGCAGTTGTGTCCCTCCCCAGCCACACAGTGGCCATCAATGAGGTGACAGCACTGCTTCTGGAGACACTGCAGCCAGGGCCATGGGACACCTCTCAGGCCCAGAGGCCAGCCTGTGCAAGCAGGTCCCAGGTCCCCAGCTG